CACAGGCTGAAGCTCTATGCACTGAGCCAAACCAGCTAGGGCCCTTTCTTTCATTCTTGCTATTGCTATAAAAAAATTGGTTGAAAAAAACATTTGTCCCATAGTTTCCCACAATCTGAAATTTGATGATTGTGTTTCTTGGTGCTGTTTTACATGTTTCTCTGTCTCAGAAATTTCTTGTAAACGGCTAGTTACAAGTAGAGACTTGATCAGATTCAGATTCCTTTTTTTTTTTTTAAGTAGTCGACATTTCATATATTTTATATAAAATTCCTGGTTTGGGCTTCATTGGAAAATTGTGCAGACCTGGGATTCCCACCTGGCAACAGTTGCTCTGGGGCTGGGTGGTGACCACCCGCACTCCCCATTTAGGTGGGACACCGGTTATCCTGTTGGCCCGGTTCACATTACTTCCTGCTGGCTCCCGTGGGCATTGGAAGTTGACACCCCTTTTCTAAACACTGTCTCTTCCTGGGCTTTGGTAGACTTCTCAACACAGTATCACAAGAGGCCTTTCAGGAACGTGGTGGAGATTAGAGAAAATGGTTCAGACAGGCACTTTCTTAAAATGCTTGAAGAAAAGAGATAAGCAGCCACATCAAGGGAGGCCACGCGATAGAATCTGTGCCCAGGATGAGGGAAAGAGAGGAAAAGTAAAACAATAAATTGAGTTCACAGAGTGCTCCAAAGATGGGAGGCAGAATGAGTCAAAGGAAGCAAGTGGATTTAATAAGACACACCACTTACATCTATTTATATATTATGATAATATTGAAACCTTAAAAAATAAAGAGAAGGGGGGGGCATAAATGTTAAATTGGCCAATACTGCTAAATCAAAAAGTGCAAGCAGACAGTTGTAACATAACGGAAATAGTGGGAATTAAACGAAATGAGGTAGAAAACAAAGAACGCCTGAAAAGGCCACTGGAAAAGGATCAGGAGCCATGCTGTGGAGATGTTGAAGAATGGGTAGAAATTTAAGGAGAGAGGAGAGAATCTTAGTCTTAGGTATTTTTTGGTGATTAGCAAATCTATTACAATGAAAAGTATTCTAAAGCTATAGAAAAAGAAATCACATTGAGTTGTTTTGAAAAGCATAAACCTTTCCAGAAAAGAATAAAATGGTGACAAGTTGGGACGTTCCGGGAAATTTCCAGATAGTTCCCCATAGTCAGAAGAATGATTAAGAGAGAGAATCTGCGACTGGTTATGAGGAAGGGTGGAAAATTTCGAAGGACAGGCTGATTATGTAAGGTTTAGATTGTGGTGTTTAAAACTGTTGCCATGATATTTTAGTTATTAATAACAATTTGGGGAAATCTATTCGCTTCTGGAGAAACATTTAGCTCTAACGAGAAAGAAATGCCACTGTATGTGAATTCCCAAGTGGTTGTAAGGAGTCATTCATTTGCTAAGCCTCTTAGGAAAGCCAGGGCCGATTTCACCCTTAACAAGCTGTTGACAGCTTCTGATCAAGGTACCACCTTGGAACATGTTAGCAGCACAGAAAGTGGACTGCGGAGTCAGACCTGTGTTTAAATCCCTTTATGTCAGTCACCATGTGACCCTGGCAGCTTACCCATGGAAAATTTCTAGGGTATAAAGGTTGCTTTACACACTGAAGCTATGGTTCTGACCGCTTGGACTTAGAGCTCTGCATACTTGACTTCCAGCACTAAGAGCCACAACTGTTTACACTTACAGAGCACTTACTATGTGCCAGGCACTACTGTAGATGTTTCTTGTGTGCTATCCCATTTTATTATCAAAAAGCCCGACGAGGTAAGTGTTGTATTAAAAGTAGCCTCACTTTACAGATGAGGAAGCCAAGGCTCAGGGAAAGTGAGTAATTTGCCTAAAGTTATATCGTGAGTGACCGTGTAAGTGACAAAGCTGGTCTTTAAACCCAGGCAGACAGAATCCAAAGGCCAAATTACTTTGCTCTCCCACCTCCCACCTTCCAATCTCAGAGAAGCCCAGAGAGCAATGCCCGTGGCTCCTAATTCAGGTGCCTCCATTTTGTTGGAGGTCCATGTGATTTTCTGTTTCCAAAAGCCTCAATGAAAACACATAAACTTGCAAGCAAACCACAGGTTTCATTAGGTTGGAATCCACAATTAACAACAGGTTAGCTCAAGTTTTGTAGAAGCTCTGATTGGCAGTTACATTAACAAAAACACTGCAGGATCATTTTTCTAAGTGGGAAGATGAATCATTAGGTAATACATGCAATTTGGTGGAATAGATCTTTCTAAACATGTGGCCTAGGGAGAGAGAATAAAGGGTGCTTGGCTTTGAGGGGGGTGGGAGCTGCTCGTGTACATGTGTATGCATGTTGTCCAACCTGCCAGCCTTCAAAACCCTGCCTACTTATTTATTTAGTTATGAGGTCTGGTGATAAGATTTATTTGTGGCACCAAATCCTGCCTTTATTTTTTTTAATTTCATGACCCTTTAATTTGATTTTAAGGCAATATATTTTCCCTGATTATTTAAAATCAGTAAGTTTTATTGGTTTTGTATTTACTGTTGGAATCTACTTTATTCATCAAAATGGTCACGTACTGGAAAGAAACATGGTCAGGACCTGGGATGCAGAATTGCGAACACGGCACTCCAAGCTAAAAACAGGATATAAGCGAAGCAAAGAACAGCCTTTCCATCCTAAATTGTCACCTGGGAGTGAATCTTTTCTAAAGAAAAATTTAAAATAAGACTCATACTACCAAGACACAGGACACACGGATGGGTTTTTAAAAACAAGCAAACAAAACCTTACGTTAGTGCACTAGGCTGTTAGCTACGTGAGTTTGTGGCAGGCCTCCCTCAGTAAATACGTATTTTCTCAGTGAGCAGTCCCTGGGTCTCAGAAGGAAGAGCCTAGCAGTCAGGAGCCTTTATATAAGGAAGAGAGCTGGGTCTTTTGCGTGAAATAACTTTTATGCCACGTGCGGAAAATCAATCTAGGCCCTGACAGCCATGGGAAAGCGCAGGTGACACCCCTCGTCCTGAGAATTTAACTAAATTACAACTGCACTTGACTTTCTCCGATTCCTGCCTCTCTCCAATGCGCAGGATTTGGCTGCTGTGTGGGGTCCGGGTCAGGGACCCCGGGACCCTTCTGCGGGCCCAGGCCTTGTTCTAATGGCGACTGGGCTCCTTGGCGGCAGACCCCTAAGCGGGTTGTCCTTCCGCGGGTTCTGGCTTGTGTTTTCCCCGGAGAAGGTGGAGGCGGAGGCCGCTGTCCGCTGGGTAGGTCTGGGGCTTCGCGGGGCCTCCGTGGGTGCCCCCGGGTCCCGCTGCTCCCCTCCCGGGGCCCCAGCCAGGGCGCGGCGAGCCCCCTGCAGCACCGGCCCGCGTGCAGAGGTCGGGCAGACTTC